AGCATCTTAGCAATCATCATCACCCTTCACTGAAATCCTAGTTTGTTCATCCTTCTCATCTGCTGGAGGGGACTCAAGATGGGATATTATACTCCAGATGCAGGTTCACAAGAGCTGAATGAAGGCGTGTATTAATGTCCCTCAACCTGCTGCCACATTCTTCATAATGCAGCTGAGTGTGAAGCCTCTGTCACTGCAAAGCAAACAGCTGACTAATTTTCCACCTGCTGTCCACCAGGATGCCAAGGCTTTTCCTGCAAAGCTTCTGCTTAGCCTGCATGTCTCCAATGTGGACTGGTGCTTGGGGTTATTCCATGCCAGGCACAGGAATTTCCATTTGTCATCACTGAACCTCATGAGTTTCTTGTCAGCACATTTCTCCAGCCTGCTGAGGTTCTTCTGAAAGGCAGTCCTGCAAACATGAGGACAAATTTCCCTAAAATCATGTCACTGACAAACTTGCTGAGGGTTCACATCATTCCATGGTTCAGATCATTAGTGAAGACCTTTAGTACTATTTACTTCAGTGTTAACCCATGGTTACAAACCAGCCACCAGCACTGGAATTGCTGACTGTTTTGCTCAAGCCTCTTGGACCTTCCAGTTATCTACTGAATTTGTAGTCCACCTATCCCATTATATCTCAGCACTTTGGCTGCAGGGATGCTATGCATCACTGTCAAAAACCAGCAGGTGCCTCTGCTGCTTTCACCTCATCCAGCAATACAGTTGTCTCATCATAAAAGCCTCTCTCAGGTTGGTCCATCATAGTTTACCCTTGGTAAATCTACTCTGCCTGTTCCCAGTCAAATTCTTGTCTTTCATGTGCCTGGACGTTGTTTCCAGGGGCATTTACCCCTTAATTTTATCATGAGCTGAGGTTAGGCTGACTGGTCTTCACCTACCTGAGTTCTTGCCTTGCTTGCAGATGACCTTAACATGTGGTGAAGGAACACGTGGCTACCCTCTACACCTCAGCTCTGGTCTGTGGGTGATGCATGAAAAAAAGCATAAAATATACTGATATGGCAATATTAGGGCCATGTGTTAATTTGGAATAGATAAAGTGTTAGAATAAACCCTAACAGACAGCCTGTTGTGTTTGTTTTTTTTTTACTTAATCAGTGACCAGCAGCACAGGTTTTCTCTCCAGTCCTTAAGGCTGTCCCTTTTGAATAAGTCATGGTATTAACTTCAGTCCCTGATGTCAGTACTTACCCCTGATTGAGATCAATGTTGCAAGGTAAGCACACGCCATATGGACTCTGTGAAATGAGGATGGATTTCAGCATAGGATTTAAGAGGAAGGGAGGGGGCAAAGACTGTACCCCAAGCTTAATGATCTAGTGCATCTCTTTATGTCTGCCTTGCCTGTAAATTGAATCTCTGATGCAGACATTCTGTAACAGTACTTTAAAGTTATTTGCATCCAGTCTACAGAATCTTTTAGTTCTAGTTTTAAATTAAGGACTCCAGTGGTTTCAGTCCTTGATAAGTAAAGCCACAGGATTTCACACCAATCACACCAAGGCTCAGTTACATTTTAGTCACAGCAGTGAAGTGATGCATGAAACTGACTGTACTGTAAAATCTCATTGTTATATGGATAGGAAATGGACTGGCTCCAGACAGTAAAACAATCCCAAGACAGGGAAAAATGTATATCAAAACTTTCAGCAGAGAGAGTTGTTCAGAGCAAATTATGTTCTTTTGTTAGGGGGCTGCAAACCATGGTCTGAAGCTAATAGACAGTGGGAAATGCTCTTAGGTGTCAGTGTGGTGGTACCAGAGTACAGTATATGCTGTTCACAGAAGACATTGCACACTTACCTTGTCCCACCAAGCACTGGACCTCTGTAGAGCAAAGTCAAAGTGTGTGGTTGTTTACTTCTGGATTAATATTTATGGAGAATGGCTTGTGTATCTCTTAAATCCTTTATTTAGCCTTTTATTCTCTGCTTGAAGTTACTCTTTTTATCATGATTTCAACATCACTAAAATAAGACCTTTCTCATATTGTATTTTTCTATATCAACCTGTACTCTGACACCTAAGATAGGGCAAAGAGAAAAAATTCACATCTTAACTGGTAACTCTGGAATTTGGGGTCCCAAAACCTTCTCATAAGTCAGGATCCATACCTTGAGTAAGATACCAAGGAGAATTAATGCAGTTGTCCGCTGGAATTTTTTCCATTTTTAAAATATAGTTCATCATAAAAAAATACATTAATTTAAATGCATTTTGCTACTGATTGATTTCAGAATTCCTGAAGAATGTATCCAGAGAAAATTTTCAGTCCTCATTGAAAACAGCTGATTTTTTCATACTGCATAGAGAAAAAAATTACCCTAATTATCTGGTTATTCCTTCCTATGCTTCAAGGAAGTTAACAGCTATCTGCAGTACTGACTCAGCTGCACCCTGCAAAGACTTCTGAAAGTCATCAAAACTAGGCTTTTGAAAGCTGATGAGCAAAGCCTTCCCTCCATTTAAAGCCCTTTGCCAGGTCACCCCTTGCCATTTAAATTGAGCAGCTTAAGTACTGCAGCTAATATGTGTAGCACTGTGATGGATGTAACACACTCTCTGCAGGAAAGGCCCCCCACTCCGGTCCTTTAAATGCTGCTTTCCCTCTCTGCCAGTCTTGTTACAGACTCATTTCTGTGTTGATAACACAGCAGTGATAATAACTATCAGCTCAGTGCAGTGGAAGGAGGATGGCTGAGCCTGAGGGGAAATTTCATCTGTGATAGAGCAAATTTTGTTCAGTCCCCCAGACATCTTCTCCTGGACACAGATGTCAGTTCACGTGACCTGGGTCTGGGGCCTCTTTAATGACCAGTTTGTTACTGGAAGCCTTGTTTCCTATGTAACCTCAGCTGATCAAAGGCTGAATTAAGCCTCTGAGCATGTTATTCTGTCTAAAGATGAACCATCCACAAATGTCATCATAGTCCATGGCCAGCCTGTCCTGATAGAAGCTTGCTTGTATCAGTAGCCATTCCCCTGGATTATTGCAGTGCCAGCGTGTGAGTAACAGAGGCTTTCCCCTCAAGAAATATCATTAATCATGAAGGTAGAATATTTTTTGCCCTCTTCTTCCCTTGGTTAATTTTCCCTTTACATCCCTCTTCTTCCTTTGTTTATTTTTTCCTTCACATCAATCAGCTGAAATGAATAGTAGCCAGATACCTCTTTGCTTTATCAGCAAGCAAAGCTGATGGCAAAGGTCCTGATGAGATCGTTTAGAGGAATGAGAAACACTTCCTTGTGAGAATTAGCCTGAGAGCCTGCAACAAGAACGGGTGGCTTTGGAGAATGACAGCACACAAGAAAATATCATCTGTTAAAACAAAGAAATCGATATTCTTTGGACTTCTAAGTCCTGGCTGTGGACATCCAGAGTGTCTTTTTCTCCCAGTGCATGAGTATACCAGCAGCCCTATTGATTTTGTGCTTATATCAGGAGGATAATCTATACCTCTTTTGGAGAGATGCTAGCTCTCTGGAGAGAACCACTGAGATTTCATGGTGAGATGTATCACAATTGCTATAAAATTGCAATTTATCAGCTAACTTCCCATTGACTGAGATAACACCTTGCCAGAAAAGTGAAGCTGCTCTGATTTTCTATAATAGCACTCATGACATTTACGTACCCTTGCCTCTTGCATATCTGCCTCACAAATAGCTCCAGACCAGAAAGTAAAGGTGCATGATATTTACAAATCACAGCTTTTTCCACATTTTTCTTTGTGTTGTTGACAAGGACTGAGTCACAAGAAGGTATGAAGTGTCTTTGCTGGAAGGTTTCATATTTTTATAGTAACGCACAAGCATACATGCACTCAGGACCAGAGATGGTGTTGAGCTATTAAACAGAGCCATTGAAATCTGTATGTTCACAAACACAGTTATCTCAGTTCTCTCGTGAGCTGTTTCTTTTTTTCCTGTTGATGTTTCTATTAGCAAATGTTGTTTGGGGTGGGAACTTCAAGTTCACATGTCCTCCAGTCCTGAATGAATTACTAAGCTTTTGAATATTTAGCTGATGGACAGAACCCTAAGGAAGAAGTCAGAAAGGCAGGGGAAAAGAAATCATAAAACTTCTCTAGAAATAAAACTAATTTATTTTTTTTACTTTTATCTATGGAAGAGGTTTTGTTTGTTTGTTTTAGCTTTGCAAGCTAGAAACAGCACTTAAACTCACAGTTGATAGTCTATAAGTTATTTTTATTGTTGGCTTTACTACTTGTTTACATGACACATCACACAGAGATATCAGGCATTTAAATATCTACCAACTACTGGCATGCAATGAAGTAGTTTTAATTGTGTTTATTTGTATGCCTATTATAGTAGCATTTACCAGCTAAAATTAATATTGCCTAGATTGATTTCTCCATCTAAAAGAGAGTTATGTAGACTCTGTCCATAAACAATAGGGACAGGAAACTTGAGAAAACAAGTCATGCCACTTGTCCTAAATGCCCTTGTGAGGAAGGGATGAATCACTCTCTGAAGATGTTTCTCTCTCTACTGACCACAAGTACTTGCTGACAGTGTTTGCCTTTTGTATGCCTGTAGTTAGACAAAAGTTATGCCCATAACTAGAGAGAGATCATTATCTAAGAAATCCAGGTATATGTGGAGGAGGGAAGAGAGTAGCAGAATTGAATCTCTTACCCAAGGACTCAAGAGATCAATGACAAAACAAATAAAATAACCGGACTTGAGCATTCAGACCAATATTTTACTGCAAGCCTTCCCTTCACCTTTACAGTCAGTGTGAACTCTGCTCTGGGAGTCAGTGGCAGTAGGATGAAAGCCTGGATGGCCACCTGTAATTATTTAAAACTTCAGAAATCACTGATACACTTAAACATATTTTTCAACTCTAGTGTCATCACTTTGTGTTATTGACTGCCTGGGCAGTGGTATAAACCAGAGGAAGGTCCCACTGAAACCATAGTGATGAAACTTCTTTTGCATTGCAGTTGACCTGGACAGGTTGAATGATGATGTGAAACGCTACAGCTGCACTCCGAGAAACTACTCTGTCAATTTAAGGGAGGAACTGAAGCTGACAAACGTAGTTTTCTTCCCCCGCTGCCTCCTTGTCCAGCGCTGTGGAGGTAACTGTGGCTGTGGGACTTCAAACTGGAAATCCTGCACATGCATGTCAGGAAAAACAGTGAAAAAGTATCATGAGGTATTTTTATTTTTTTTCAATTATTTGGTATTTCTTTTCATTATTTATTGCTTACGTGGATTCTGAAGACTTTTTTTCAGAGCCATAAATGTTGCTTGTATTGATTTTCATGTTATATTCATCATGTTTTATTATATAATCATTATCATTAAGCTATATCAACACACACACACACACGTAGCCAACCTGCAGGAAACACTGATTTTAAATAATGCTCATATTAATGCCACAACAACACCCAGCAATTTGCATTTGGAAGTGGTGAATGAGCAGAGTGAAAGGAGGTTATGCGTTAGAAAGAGGCAGTAACAGGCGTTTCTGGGTAAGTTAATTTAAAAGATGTTGGAGAGAACTTTTGCCACTTTTCTGTATGGATGCTAACACAGGGTTCTAGTGAACTTTGTTGAGAGAATGAGTTTTATCATAGAATCATAGATTGGTTAGGGTTGGAAAGGACCTTAAACACCATCAGGTTCCAACTTCCCAGCTATGAGCAGGAACCAGGCTGCACAAAGTCTCATCCAATCTGGCCTTAAATTCCTTCAGGGAAGGGGCTTCCACAACACCCTGAGCAACTTATTCCAGTGCTTTACTATCCTCATGGTGAAGAATTTCTTCCTAATGTATAACCTAAATTTCCCCTCTTTCAGTTTAAAACCATTACCCCTTGTCCTATCACTACCCTCTCTGGTGAAAAGCCCCTCCCCAGCTTTCCTGTAGCACCTTCAGGTACTGGAAGGCCGCTATAAGGTCTCCCCAGAGTCTTGTCTTTTCCAGGATGTCTTCAGCCTGTGTTCATAGCAGAGGTGCTCCAACCCTCTGATCATCTGTTTGTGTTGGACTGATTTTTCCCAGCAGAGGACTGATACACCATGAATGTATATAATGCTGGAAATATTATTTTTAGTAACACAGAGACATATTCCTTGAGACATTTAACTGCCCTTCCTCTTCTTTTGTGCTATATCTTTTAAGTTTATGACCATGCTTGGAAATGACAATTATGTCACTTGTAAATTCTCTTCCCTTCCAGATTTATTACCTGTAGAAAGCAGCTGAATCTTTCAGCCTTTGCTTTTTTACTACTCAGCAATTTTTTAGGAAGACGAATTTTTTTGCATATGAACAGAGGGCATTATATTTATTTTTAATGCATTCACAACACATCTAAAGAGGAAAAAATCAGGGACAGAGCAGTTTATATTCTTGCCTCTAAATCAGTATTTTCAGAACAGACATGAACCATGTTCACTAAAGTGAACATATCTAGGAAGATTACTTATTATTCTTTCAGTTTTCTAAAAGTAAGTAGCTGTGTGTCATGCTGACTTAATTTCTGAACATACCTCTTATAAGAGCTATTTACCACTGCTCTCAAGTTTCAAGTTAAAATTAACTTTATGGACTTTAAATCTGCATGTGATATGGGCTCATATCTTGAAGGCATTAACTTGGGAGACTCTAGGGCTGCAATAGCAGAAGACTATTGAAAGTCAGACCTTTGTCTCAGTGTGAACAATGTGGTTACTCTTTTCCAAGGCAGGAGATTTTTTCTTACAGTTACCTGCAGAATACAGCATACTCCACATCATCTAGGACTAGAGAATAGTTAATATTTCATCTCATTTTAAACAAGATGCAGAGGATCACCCTGGTAATTATGGAGCGGAAAGTCTTATCTCAGTGGTAGAGAAGTTAATTGAAAAAAAATTAATAGATTTAAAACACCTAGATGACTATGAGTTGATATAATGAACTCAGAATGCCTTATGTATGAATAAATATTTATACAGCACCACAACATTGTACAAGATTGCTAGACCTGTCACCTCCTCCAGAGAGCGAACAGTCGGCCAGACAAGATCAGATCGGGATTAGAAGCTAGTTAAGAGAAAGAGTAAAGAGGTGGGAGAGAGAAGCAGTTTTCTACATAAGAAGTGGCTATCTGTGGGTGCCCCCAGGATGCAGATTAAATGTTATTTCATGCATGTTCAGTCTGGAGGAGGTAAAAAGAAAGGTGGCAAAAAGGAAAGCTAGCACAGGAGATAATATACTTTAACAGCAGAGAAGACTGAGGCATTTCAGAAGGCCTGTATAACTACTTATGAATGAAGTTCATAAAAGCAGGAAGCATAAGGATGAGTAATCTCAACTATTTACTCATATAACACTAGGTGTGTGAGATGAGGAAGGAGAAACGAGGGGTGGAAGTGTTCAGAAAAACAGTTATTTACTGAAGTGGTGATAGGAAAAAAACAAGTGACAGTCTTCTGCAGGAGTAGAGGAGAACACTTAGTAACGCAGCAAATATTATGGCCCAAATATATTGTTGGGATATATGGGTTTTGGCCATTGGTGAAGGAAACAGACAGGATCAGAAAAGATACATAGAAGCAGAAAATATACATCAAGAGAGATACAGGAGAAGATACACATCAAAAACATTTGAACTGAAAATGTCTCAAAAGTTCTAGATAATTTCATTTAGAAAAAAACAGGGAATAAGAGAGGACACAGTGAAAGATAGAAAACAGTGAGTAGTACCTAATGGAAAATCAGGTCTTCCTAAATAATCTTTTCTTTATGTAAAGAACAAAGAAAAAGGGAACTAATTCAAAATTATAAAAAGGAATCAAATGTTTTGCACAGTAAATCCGTATTGAATTTCAACACTTAAATATCAGTGCTACATAATTCAGGATTCTGAGAGATGTAGAAGTGTTATACAAACTAAAGAATCCTGGGTCACATCTGTATCAGAACTTAAGACAACTATTGACAGTAGCTCGAAAAAATGCTGATTGATAACATGTTATCAAGCATGTATTTTTTACTAGGTGTTAGGGAGCATTTAGTGCTGGGACACCAGAATACTACACTAACCAGATATTGGTCAGAACCGAGATGTCGTGATTTATGACCAGCCCAGATTAATCACTAAATTCAGGAAATTCAATATTCACACAAATACATCACTGATAATTTATTTCACTACTCATTTGTTCACTGAAAACCATATGAATTAAAGACAGTGTTTCAGCTTTAACATTAAATGGCTTTTGTAAATTTAAATTTAAGCTTAAACCCTTAAGGATGAATTAACAGCTCACTGAGTAGAAGTTTATCCAAGTGGCTCCCATTAACATGAGTGGAAGGCATGAAGATAAATTAATGTATGACATACTAAAGATATGTCCATTAATTTTAGCCCAAAATGTTTTCCACTGTATTGTTATTATTTGCCACACACAGCTAATCAGTTTGATTATTTATTCTCCTTCAACAGTTAACTTTAATTGTATGTAAATGCTTGGCAATAAAGGTACTGGGGAAGGGCCCTTCAACATATCAGTTTTAGAACCATGGAGCTTGTTTACTCTTTTCAAAACTAATTTGAAATTGACTGACCTTAACCAAAAACCTACATAAAAAAGGACAGAGCTTCAGACTTCATGGTAGCCACAGTATTTAGTTAAAAATTTCTGCCTCTGCTGCAGAAGAATGTAGGCCAGATTCAAACACAAATCTTAATTACTTTTATTTTACTCGCAAAAGGCACCACAAGGAAGTATAAGGCAGTGGAGAAGAGAAGGTGTTTTTAGTAGCTGAAACTGAATCCTGGAGGCTACAGACCACTTCTCTTGCCAGGCTGATTTTGCCTAACTGCTATCCTGGAGCTTCATCTGCTGAGCTCCTGGACCCACCCAAGCTACTTCTGCACGTGGATATGCTTGTCCTCAACAGTAAAAAATATAACTGGAAATCATATTTCTGAGCTACCCAGTATTTCTGGGTGAGAAAGACAGGCAAATTTTCCAGAATCAATAGGTTCCTTTTTGGCTTTGTAGCCAGTGCCAGAGTAGCTGCATGACAGCAGCTGTGGGGATACCACTGCCCAGAGCGTTTGTTCAGAGAGAGGCTTTTAGTCCAGAGAGGTTTCAAGGTTATCTTCTCTTCATGCTCTTAATGTCTTTTAGTTCCCCCTTAGTTCCTGTTCAGAGCCTCTTGCTGTACTCGTCACTGAATGTTCCCTCCTAGTATCACAGAACTAATAGCTGTCACGTGTAGCCTTTAATTTCCCAAAGCTGTGAGCGCTGCTCCGGTTCCCTGAACAGACTGTACAGCTCTTTCCTATCACGTCTGATTGTAAGAAGTAAAGCAACAGCAGGGAAAATGAGAAAATTAGAATGCCACAGTAAGGGGTATCTTTTTCTTTATTGCCCTGGGAAATGCTAATAATGAGATCTTGGGTCTTTTTTATGACCTGGCAGTTTGCCATAGCTTTACCAAAATACTCAGCAGTTTCCAGAAGTAAATGGGTTTGTAACTTGAGTAAACGGATAGTTTTATGGGTTGGTGTTTTTTTTTCAGGAGTCTTGTGATTCCCTGTGGCTTTCCATGGTTTCTGGGTTTGCTTGTGACCAGAGCTTATGGACTCATGACTTACCACATAGTGCCCCGAACTCTGCAAACCAAACAGGCCAAGTGCTGGCAGTGTCTCAAAATGACTGTCAGGCACAGTCTACCATAAGCGATACTGAGTTATGGCACAGGGCTCTATGCAAGGGAAAGACAAAGCAATAAATGGAAGTAGATGAGGCTCACGTGAATTAAATGCTCCATGTCTACTGCTGTCTAACTTGCTAAAGGGGAGTTGAAATGAAGGTGTGTTTTCCATTGCAGTGCATTTCTTGGAAGTGTCTGAAGCTTCTCTTTAAAGAGAGGTAGACTCTAAACCTGCAGATCACCCAGCCCAGAGGAGGTGTGGGGGAGCTCAGACCAAGACTGAATTCAGCTCAGGCTGCAGCTGTACCCAGCGTGCACACACCTCCAAGAAACAAGAAATCAGTTTCCCCATCTCATTGCTGTAACTGATGGGATGTGAAATGACTTTCCATGAGGAATAAATGTTCTTAAGGTAGCAACCAGAATTTGTCAGAATGTGTAAACCTCCACACAGTGCTGAGAAACACAGCTGAAAGGCATATAAGGAAAGAAGC